ATGAGGGGGCAAAAATCAGACACACACCCCCAGACTTCTACAAAGCATGTTTCAAAGATTCAGAGAAAGGAATCAAAACTGTGATTCTCAAGAGAATCGAGTTCAAGAGGTTTTAAAACTGAAGTCCTGACAATGAAGTCACAAATTATCCTGAGTGTAAAAAAAAAAGAAAGAAAGAAAAGAGGGCAGCATCTAAAAATAAAGGTGGCTGCACAGGGGAGCTCTCCAGTGCACGAAAATTTTAGAAGTTCTTGTGTTCTCGAAAAATTAATGACATACATTTAAAGTATATGAATTTGAATATAGCTGAGTGGGGTGGTTAAAACTGAGCCCTTGGAATCCCTGTTTGAATCTCAACTCTGCCACCTACTAGCTCTGTGACCTTGGATAAGTCATTTGACTTTTTTGAGCTCTGATATCTAAATCTGTAAAATGGGGTAGTGGTATCCCGTCTATAAGGGAATGAAATGAAATGGGGCATGTGAGGGCCAAACAGAGGGGCTGGCACGTAGGAAATGCTCAGTAGCCACCATTATTAGCATTCTATTAAAAATACCGGACATGCTCTTAATCAGAGGGCAACTGCAAAAGGATCACGCCAAAGGGTTGGAATTGTACGGGGAAGGTGAAAGACAGGTTGATGTGACACTTGGGGAAACCTCTGCGGAACACACCAGGGTTCTCCTGGGAAAATCATCAAGAAGGAAGGCGGACGTCGAGTCTGGAATAGCCAATGAGTTGTCAGCGGCCAACAGAGGAAGGACAGGGCAGGGACTCCTGCTGTCCCTGCAGCCTCTCCCTCAGAGGGACGTGCTTGATGACAAACACGGGATGCAACTGAAGGCCAGTCAAGGTCATTCCTCACTCCCTTGAATGAGTCTCACTCGCTGTTGCGGGGCAGGACACCGATAGAACCTGCAAATGTGATGGTAGGAGCTACCTTGAAGAATCACCGGGAAGGCTGAGCGGTCAGGAGTCTGCAACAGAGCCAGCATGGCTTTGATTTTAAACACAGGGAGGAGGATAGATTTAGAAGATACAGAGGTGCACTTAGTGCCCATGCCTGGCAGAGTTCTAGAAGTGGTGACTACATGGAGAGAATTATTGGAGAGGCCCACCTGGCCCACCTGCTTCTGCCCTCTGCCACCGCACACCCCATGCTCTTCTCAGTGTAGCAGCCAGAGGGATCCCCTCAAGTCCGAGCATGCCACGCCTGCCCAGGAGCCTGCTGTGGCTCCCTTCTACCTGGAGGAAGAGTCCAAGCCCTTCCAGTGGCCCAACCCCCACCTGACCCCCCCCCCCACCTTGTCTGAGCTCAAGTCTCACAGTTGCCCTTCCCTTTCCTCTCTTGCTCTGGCCACACTAACCTTCTTGCTCTTGGCTTTCACCCTTGCTGTTCTCACTGCCTGGATCACTCTTCCCCCAGACAACTACTTGGTTTCCTCCCCCAAGGCTTTGCTCAAATGTCAGCTTCTCCATGAGGCCTTCCCGGAGCACCCCATGCAAGGCCCCACCCTCCCACCCATCCTCTTCCCTGACTTAGGTTTTTCTCCATAGTCCTCATTACCATCCTACATACTACAGATTCTTACTGTGTGTCCTGTCTATCAACTTTCTCTGCGCATGAAAATGCAAGGTCCACGGGCTCAGAGATTTGTACCTGCATCCCCGTTTCCTACCACTGTGCCACCCACAGAGTCATGTTCATTAACTATCTGTTGCTTGGGAGGGAGGGACAGAAAAGAAAGGAGGGAGGAAGGGAGGGAAGGAAGGAAGGAAGGAAGGAAGGAAGGAAGGAAGGAAGGAAGGAAAGAAGAAAGGAAGGAAGAGGGCACAGTTAGAAAGAGGCTGCTAGACTAGGGTGACCAACCATACCAGTTTGTCCAGGACTGGGAGAGTTCCTGAAACAAAGGATTTTCAGTGCTGAGACCAGTAAAATTCTAACTGGTCACCTACACTCACTTAGCCAACTGTGTTTACTTCTCTGACGCGGGGACTAGGCTGCTAGCTCCCAGAAATGTCTCCAGCTCACTATCTCCACATTTCACAGCCTTCCACAAAGTCTATCTGTGGGAGGATGCAGAAACGTGGGCTGCAAGATAGTGTGTTTGAGCAGCGGGTAGTTGGCTGAGTGGCCGCACTAGACATGTTGATTGATGGAGCCAGTCAGGATGGTGGGAAGGCTGCGCGGTGAGCCACGGAACCGTGTCCCAGCTCCACAGTCTGAGCTGTGGATGAGCACGTGGAAGGCAGGGGAATCTTGAAGTGGCATGTACCAGGGAGGGAAAGCTAATATGCTCAACAATTGGGCCTGGTTTCGAAATCATCTCGATCGATGGAAATGACAGACCCTATGTAACAACTTAAAATGTAAAGGGAAATAAATCCTGCTTTCTATTTAGGGTTAAAGAAAAAAAAAAACCATCTTAAATGTACAGAAGAGACCAGGCTTAATAGCTGTTTTGTTTTGTGTTAGTTGCCCACACGCTCGGTCCAGTGTGAAAGCAGAGACTCTCCCCCCAGAGACGGTGTCTAAACCGTCTAAACAGACCTCGAGGGGCGTGGTGGTGCTGTCCTCCCGCTGGGCCCCACACACCTGAGCCAAGTACCGGGCTCAGTACCAGAGGAGAGCTGCTCGCTCTCATTTGCTGGCTTTCTAGCTATTCTAGGACACAGCACCCGCAAAGCGCCTCTTACTCCTTCCCCCAGCTGGCTGTGGCCTTGAGGTGGTGTCTCTGCGACAGAGAAGAGACCCCTCCCTCCCTCCTCTTCCACCTAAGTTCTCTGGGATAGCCAGTGTTTAGGACTGGGGATTCAGCTGAGAGAGAGGTTCATCTAACTACAACTGTTTCTCCCCCCAAGAAGGAGGGATTCATTGTCAAGGGCGCAAGCAGTGTAAGCCCCATGGCAGCCGGGAGGCGGCAGTGCGGTGAGTCCCAGGAGCCAGGGCCGCATCCCCTTTCCCGGGGGGCTCACGGCTCCCACCATTCCCCAAGGGCTTCCTGCCTGCAACTGAGAAGGCTGTGCGAAAGGAGGGTAGCAAAGGGGACTCAGAACAGGTGTTCTGAGCTAGCAGGTCGAAGGCCCTGGGCCCCCGGCTGGGCAGGCGGCCACTCTTTGGGTTGCTAGGACCAGGCCCAGGGCTGGTAGGAAAGCTCTTGGTGGCAGTGGAGGTGGCTGACGGGAGGGGGCTGCAGGGCTCCCCAGGCTTCCCGGGGCTCTGGGGGCTGATTTAGGGGGAACGGCACTTTGATTCTTCGTGCCACGTGGGCCGGACAACAGCCAGCGCCCGTTGTCCTAGAGGAAAGGAGAGGCATCGATTTCCGACTCCTGTCTTTCGTGCTCAGCAATAGGCCCTGCCCCACGTCTTCCCCACGGGCTCTGGATCGGGGTATGGCCCCAACCCTCACCTATGGAGAACAAGCTAGCTCCCAGAGGCCGGTTCCAGTCAGTGGGCGGGGCTGCCCGGAGTAAGTGACAGGATCCCAAAGCTCATCAGGAAGGAACATGGGGAAGATTAGGAATGTCGGCCCTGCGTGCCCAAAGGGGAGGGGGAGCCCGTCTCTGCTTTCCCAGCCCCCTCCCCTAAAGAGCACATGCCTGGCCCATGGGAAAAAGCTGGCATGAATGGGGCCTGCTGACCTCAGGGCAGAGGGTGGTCATTTCCTAATGGGGCCTGAGCAGCCCACCCGTGGAGGGGGAGGGGCGGACAGACAGTCCTCCAGCCCCTTTCCTGACTCTCCTGGGAACGTACACCGACAGGTACCCCTATACACACCGGGGCCTGCAGCGGAGGGAGTGAAACATTCTAGCCCCGCCAGGCCAGAATCCGGGGTTCTCAGAGTGTGGTCCCCCGACCAAGAGCAGCAGCGTCACCTGAACACTTCCTAGAAATCCAAATTCCCAGGTCCTCCCAGATCTAGAGCCCAAACTGGCGGTGGGCCCAGCCCCCTGTGTTCCACAAGCCCTCAGGTGCTTGTGATGCAGGCCGATGCGGGCGCCCTCTGCCTGACAGAAAGAAGGCCTCTAGACCAGCTGCCACCAAGGGCTGCAGAGGGGAGCCCTGCCGGCGGGCTTGGGGCGAGTGTCCTCTTTCTAGGTTCCGTGGGGCCGACGCTCCGTGTCCACCTGCGCATGCATTTGCCATCTCCGTGGCGCAGTGGCTTGGAGCTGCCCTCTGTGTCTGGAGCGCAGGGGTGCTCAGCCTCACGAGTTGCTTCTTCGGTCTCAGGAGACCCGTGGCTTTCCTAGCCCCTTCCAGAAACAAGAGCTGTGGCCCAGTGGCCTCTGCTCTGGAGCTGCAGCCCCCTTGACCGGCCAGAGCAGCCCCCCTCCTTCCCCCCACCCCGCCCCAGGGTCTATGGCCTTTCAGACAGATGCTCCTCTTCACATTTGGTCCTAAGAAGTCAATCTGTTTTAGCAAACCAGGCTCATTGCAAATGATACCGAAATGGACCGGAAAGATCAATGCAGCAATTTCTTTCTCCCACAGTCCTCCCCTCCCCAAATCCTCTATCACCCCACACCCCCTCCTGCCCCAGTGAGCCAAAGTTCTTGCTGTCTTGATGATTTGCAATTCTCTGCATGACTCTGCCTCTTGGGTTTGTTTAATTAGAAATAGGCCGGGAAGTGCTTCCCAGGCGCTGGCGTGTTAATTGCTTATCAGGGAAAGAGAAGGGGTGACAACGTTTGGTGATGGAAATTTCCACCCTCTCCATCTCTCTGAGCTTTTCTCCGTTTTCTTCTCGCACCTTCTCCTCCCTTTCCCCGTCAGCTCCTCCTGCTCTCTGCCCTTCTGCCCCCAGCTCTCCCGTTCACAGTCACAGGGGGCTCTGGGGAGCAGGCCTGGACTCAGCCCTCCAGGGAACACCTGTGCCCTCTGTCACCATCTCCCTCTCCCCTCCTGTCCCAGCCCCTCCCCCCGCCAGCCCCTGGGCTCGCAGAGATTCCAGAGCAGAGGGCTTTACAGGTGCAGGTACGCTTAGTAGTCAAAGATGAGCTTCCTTTTGTTTCCTTTCCCCCCTTATTATTGTTATTCTTACTTATTTTTATTTTTTACAAAACAGGAGAAAAGAGTGAACTGGGTTGGGGGGAGGTGACACATTTCTCCACAAAGGTACAAAATTGCCTATAGAAAGTCAACCTCGCAGTGCCAACCCGGGCTTGCCAAGATGAGGCGTTCCTGGGCATCCCCCTCCCCAAATGTCTTTCAGATCCGGCCGGGGACCCACTGTGGGAGCGGTCCCCCAAGGTGGGGAGGAGAGGCCTCCCTCAGCCCTTGCCCAGGAGGGGAAAGAACAAGCAACTGAGACTGTACAAAGAAAGAGAAGAGGAGGGGGGCGCATCCTGTGGGCCAAGGGCCTGGGGACACAGGCAGGGGACATCCAAGCAGAGGCCCAGGAGCCTCTGGGCACATAGACAACTAGGGAGATGGGAGGCTCTAGCCAGAGTCCTTCCTGTTCCTCGGAGATGCTCCTCAGAATGTCAGCAGACAGGCCCCCAGAAGGTAACGGGGACTTTGTGGAGGCGGCGGGAGCCGCCCCTGGCGCTGCAAAGCCCCGTCTGTCTTGGTCTGGCTGCCAGGCCTCAAGCACGCGGGTCCCTGTCACTTTCTGGGCAGGGCATCTGGCCCAGACTGCCTCCCTTTTGGTCAAAAGGAGTCCTAGTTACGTGTCTACTGCGGAGAGCAGGCTGAGCTTCGAGAATTTTGCAGCAATGGTGGGGACAGTGTTTCTGCTTCTGAAGACCTGGACAGCTTCCTTCCTGGATTCCAGGCCAGGATGAGGGGCGCGGACACCACTCGGACCGCGGGGGCACTCCAGCCCCAGAAAGCCCAGGCTGGAAGGAGAGGCCGCCCACCCACGCCCTGCCTGGGCTGAGCAGTGCCAAGGCGGGCAGCTAGCCCGGCTGCCAGCAAGAGGACAGCGAGGGCCAGCATGGCTATGAGCCCGGGCCGGTCCCCTAAGGCTCTGTGGCAAGGAGTGGCCTCCTTAGTCCTGGTCCATACGCATGCCAACTGGGTGTGGGCATCAGCAAAGGCCACTTGCAGGCAGGCCCAGTACTCCGTGGCCTGAAGGAGGCGGGTGATGTTGTAGCTGTGGGTGCCCCTCGGCAGGCGGGCCAGAGCAGGGGCGCCCTGGCCCCGGAGGGAAGAGGCGCTGGACCAGGTGAGGTTGGTAGAGACTGTGTTGGGTGGGGGGACCCAAGACAGTAGGATGTGATAAGGGTGGGTCTCCTGCACCCGGAGCTCCAGCCCCCGGCCCTTGTCCCGGCCCGGCTGCAGGGGAGCCCGGCCAACCACCACACTGACCGTCTTACTGTCAGCCCCCACCAGGTTCTGGGCCACACAGGTGTACAGCCCCGCGTCTTGCGCCGTCACCCTCCGCAGCTCGAGGGTCCCCTCGGGGTACACCCGGTACTTCCTGCCAGCACGGGCAGCCGTTAGTCGAACCCCGGCTGGAGTGACCCAGTAGATCTCGGGTTCCGGTTCGGCCAGGGCCCGGCAGTGGAGCACCAGGCTCTCTCCACTGGCCACCTGGAGGCTGGGGGGGAAGCTGCGGGGGGAGATGAGGGGCAGGCAGTGGTCCGTCATCTCCCGGAAGGGCACCTCGCGGACTGGGCGGCGCTGGAGGTCTGGCGGCTCGGCACACAGGGTGGACTGTGGCTCGATGAAGCGGACGCGGGTGCTCGTGGCATTGGCCCAGCGGATGACGCAGTCACAGCGGATGGGGTTGCCGTGGAGACCCACCTCCTGCAGGTTGGGCAGGGACTCCACCGTCTGCTGGTGCAAGGCACTGAGAGCATTGTTGTTGAGCATGAGGGTCTCCATCTGGGGCAGGTGGTGGAAGGCGCGGGGGTGGATGAAGGACAGCCGGGGGTTGTTGGTGATGTCCAGCTTGGTCAGCTCGGGGAGGTTGACCAGGGCGAACTTGTCGATGGAAACCAGCTCCTCCATGTTGTTCAGCCCCAGCTCCTTGAGGTGCAGCATGTTGGCAAAGTCCCCGGGCCCCACCCGCTGGAGCGGGTTCTTGTTCAGGTCCAGGAACTTGAGCCCGGGCACCTGCTCCAGGGCCCGCCTGGGCACCCGGGCCAGCTGGTTGTCATAGAAGGAGAGGCTCTCCAGGCTTTGCAAGCCCTCCAGGGAGTAGTCGGAGATCTCCCGAAGGTTCATGCCTGCTAGCACCAGGCTGCGCAAATTGGCCAGAGGCCGGAAGTTCATGTCCAGGATGGCATCTACCTTGTTGCCACCGATCATGAGGATCTCTAGGTTGGGCAGCATCTCAAACCAGCGGCTGTCGATGGCCCGCAGCAGGTTGGAGTTGAGGTGCAGCCGCAGCAGGTTGCCGAGGCCAGCGAAGGCCCCGGGGGCGATGCGGTAGAGCCGGTTATGGTTGAGATAGAGTTCTTGCAGGCTGGTCAGCCCTGCGAAGCTGTGGTCCTCCAGCCGGGTCAGCTGGTTCTCCTCCAGGTGCAGGCTCAGCAGCTGGGGCAGGGCACGGAAGTCACAGTCTCGAGCGTCCGAAAATCTGTTCTGGGACAGGTCCAGCTCGGTGAGATTGGCCAGGTGGTTGAGCTCACTCCGGTCCACACGGACAATGCCGTTGCTCTGAAGGAGCAGGGTCTGTGTGCCCGCGGGCAGCCCGGGGGGCACGGCTGTCAGGAGCAGGTCGTTGCAGTCCACGGTGGTGGCCTCCCGGTAGGACGATCGCGGTGTATACCAGGGCCGGATCTGGCAGGCACACTGAGGGGGGCAGGGCACGCGCCAGGGTACCACGGGCACCGTGGCAGCGGCACCAGCCACCCAGGCCAGTAAGAGGGGGGCCACAAGGAGCCTCATGATGGAGCAGCAGGGTAGGGGACCATCCACAAGAAGAGTCTGCAGTCCTCCACTCTTAGCAGTTTGCAGGCTGAGGGTCAGCAGCCCTGCCAGGGCCTGGGGATCCACCCTCCCAGGACAGTCATTCTACGTGGGGATGGGTGGGCATCGCTTCTTACCCTCCTGGGTGTGGCTCTCCATCCTTGTCCGCTGGGGCTGGGCCGGCTCATTCATTACCACACCCCATCAGGGCAGCCCTGGAAGAAGAGGATGCAGAGTAAGGAGGTGGCAGAGAAGCAGAATCCATTCCCTCTGCCCGTGTCACCCCTGTTTGCAGAGGGCAAAGGAGCTGAGAGAGATGGACTGGGCCACAGCCAGGGCTCCTGGGTTCTGTCCTACAGCCCTCAGGCTTTATTTTATTTTTTTAAATTGATTTATTTGTCAGAGAGAGAGAGAGAAGAGAGAAGAGAGAGAGAGGGGACAAGCAGGTGCAGCAGCAGGCAGAGGGAGCCCGATGCGGGGCTCCATTCCAGGACCCTGGGATCATGACCTGAGCCGAAGGCAGACACCTAACGACTGAGCCACCCAGGTGCCCCAAGGTGTCCCACTCTTAAGCTTCAGTGTCCTTTTCTATTATCTGCTGGGGGAGTGAGTCTTCATGGAAGGAGGGAAAGATTGAACCAGGAAGCTTCCAGGATAACTCAGGAAGGGGTGTGTGTGCGTGCGTATCTGCAGAGGAGAGGGGATGCTGGAGTTCCTGTCATCTCCACAGTCCTTCTGAGCCGAGACATGTGGAATGGATTCTCCTACCTTTCTCACATCTCCCTGCCTCCATCCTTGGCTCACTGGGTAAATGGAAAATAAAGTGAGAGTTTCCAGGCATCCCCCTGAGCAGTGTGGGTAGGGGGTGGTGGAAACAGTACAGATTTTAAATTCCAGGGTGGGATCTCAGGACTCTGGAAGTGGAAAGGCAGTGGTCCCTGAGCCCACACCCAGACTGGCTGGGGTAGTGGCTGGTCCTGCCTGGGGTCTGCTTGGGCTCTCCTCATGTATGGCTTTGGTTTTCCCCACTCTCCCTGCCCAACAGCCTGGCTGAGCTCCCTGGAAGGAGGAGGTGGGGTTAAGAAGCCTGGGCCTGGGCTCTCCCGCTTACCCACTGCGCACAACACTCTTGAGCTGAAGTTACCCTGACACGCCCCCCCGCTTTCCCTTTTTTCTTTTTCCTTTTTTCTAGACAAGGCCTACTTGTTCTTTGAGCCTCAACTCAAGGTCAGTCACCTCCTACAGAAGCTTCTCCCAAACCTCCCCACCCCGGGCTGGCCTAAGGGGCCCGCCTTATGCTCTTAGAGTGCCCCATGCTCCCCTCTGTCCTAACCCGGACCACATCTCATGGAAATGGCTCCCCAGCTGGGAACCTGTCTTGGTCATCACTCTGTTTGGAGCACACAGCAGGTGCCCAGTGAATGTTTACTGTATGAATCAATCTCTGTGGCTCCAGGGCCCCATCCCCTCAGGAGGGTCTCCCCACCCCCAGTGTAGAATCGAAGCCACTGTTCTTTCCCACCTCCCAGGTATGGCTAATCCAGGCTCTCCCACAGATCCCAAGGCCAGGCTGCGTCATCCTGGAGGCAAGTCCAGCCTTGGCCTACAACCAACATGGGAGAAAAACCAGGGGGCCTTGCTGGGCCCGGTCCCCTCCTGAGCAGAGGTCCCATTTGGGTAGTCTTCCAAATGCGGGTATCAGGGAAGCACCCCAGCACTTACTGGGCACCTGAGATCTGCCTGGACCTTTCCCAGACTCTGAATATCTTATTTCATTTAACCGTTATAACGTCATAATGAGTCGACAAGATAAGCATTAATACCCCTAGTTTGCAGATAAAGAAATTGAGGTTCATTAGAGGTTAAAGAACTTGGCTCAAGACACATAGCCGGTAAGCGGCAGGAGACAGGAATCCACCCAAGTCCAGAGGTTGGGCCACTTACACCATCCTTCTTCGTCCCCAGGCCTGGCTGTGGCTGCAGGAGGCTGAGTGCCCATTCTTGTCCCCTGGGGTGACGTCTACTACCACCCTCTAGGCAGGGTCCTCTCAGCTGCCCAGAGGGGCTCTGTGCCCATCTCACTCCGCTTCCCGGATGCTGGGGCTGGGGAGGGGAGCAGTCGGAGGAGGGATACCTTCCCTTGAGCAGGAGAGCGGTACGCCTGTTTACATTTGACTACTTCCCACCTTCCTCTGCAGCTATTTCTGAAGGTGGGAAAACAATCGGACTTAAAATGCACAGAGGTTTTGTGTGGGGGTGTGTGTGCCCTGACACGTACCACTCAGAGCAAACAAACACACGTGTACGCATGGACGCATGCCCGCATACACGTGCGGAGGGGAGCCCAGGGAACTTGGCCACCCAAGCCAGGGAGTGGCGGGCAGGAAGAGGGTGGGGGATTCTGTAGTCTACTGTGTGGTTGGAGAGGCAGCAGGAACCAGCTGAGCCCCAGGATGGCCCTGTCATGGGGCTGGACCTAGGCCGGCGCTTACATACCAGAGGCCCCTGCCTCCTGCCTAGACCTGGCATGAGGGAGCAGAACCCACCTGCAAGAAGATCTTACTATTACTTACCCCTTCCTACCAGAGCACACTGGGAAAAGGTACTGACTTCTCAGAGCATCTGCTCCTTATGTCTAAAGTGAGGTTGTCATTAGGATTAAGGGAGCTGAGTGTGGCACACAAAGAAAGAGCTCAATAAATGTGAGTTCTCGTCCAGCTCCGGTCATCCTCAGGGTTGGGAGACTCTGCAGCTACAGGACTTCTCAGGGGCAACAGATCCTGTTGCTCAATAAGCCCCTACGGAGCTTGCCCACTGTGGCCCAGCATGGCCGCCAGGTGGCATGGGGAAACAATGAGCAGAGATAAATAAAACGTCACACCTTTATGGAGTGACCCTCTGGCAGGACTGAAAAATGCAAAATGATAAGAAGAGCCCAAGACAGTTCTGAAGGGCAACTGGGCCTAGTGGAGCATCCTCCTGGCTTTGGCCGCTGACTGAGCCACAGGTGTCTCTCCTCCAACACCTTTGTTCTGACACCTTTGTCCTACAGATGCTCAGCCGTGTGCAGGGGATGAAGGAATCACTTAAAACTTAATTAAAAACCTCCTGAGACTCGCCTTTCCCTCTACCCCAGGCAGCACCCTCCTCCTCACCCCCTCTGGCTGGGCAGGTGGGTGAGGCAGCGTGCCTGCTCCTCAGCCAGGAGCCCAGGGCTGGCGTTTGGCACCCAGAGAGAGGTAGGGGCTGGATGACACGTTTGTCTGCACCCCTGATCCCAATGCTTGGCAAAGGCCCAGACAAGTCCTCCCCCTCACTGCTGAGCACACAGCCCCCTCCAGGGAGGAGCACTGAGCTGCCCACTCACCTGCCAACACGGGTTCAGGCCGTCTTGCACATGCCCACTCATGCCCACTCATGCAGGCTGATTAGCGATCTCTGCCGGGAGCTGCAGAGAAAGCTGATTGTCTTGTATCTATAATCTCCGGGGTGAGCTGGAGTTCAGATGATTGTGTGGACACTTTCCCCAACTGGATTTCAAGCTCCTTGAGGCAGGGGCCATGTCTTACACGCTCTTTGTGCACCCAAAGCTCGGAGTGCAGGGCTGGGCACGCAGAGGGTACTGGTAAAGGACACCAGCAGTGAAACAGATGACCCTCCCATCAACCCCGTGTGTAGGCAGAGAAGGGATTATTCAGTCTGGTCCTGCAGCAGAAGCACCTGAGGCTTGGAGGGCTCACGTGACTTTTCAGAGGTTACACAGCTTCCATGTGGCGGGGTCAGAATTCGAACCTAGGTCTTGGACTCCAGAACCTGAGCCACCAGCCCAGCCAAGGCTTGCTGCCTGGTGGATCCAAGTCTGCCTTAAAGGAGCACGGCACCAGGCTGACCTGGAGTGCCTGCCTAAGAGCTGGCCTGGGTCCTCAGCTCCTCTTCCCCCACAGCCACCTGATGGGCCCCCACAGACACCCCTCCTTGATTTCGGGCTAGAGTGACACCACACCCCCCCAACTTGGACAGCACAGGGAAGACACTGTCCCTGTTTGAGTGTGGCTGGCCCTGGCACCACAGGGACAAACAGGCGGCAGCCTGCACACGGACCTCAGCCTGCCTTCTGATTGGGGGCTGGGGGCTCTTGGCCAGCCTCGGCCTTCAGTGATGGGAGACTGAAAGCCCTGGAGCCACAGTCAGGGAAGCAGGGCTGTTCAGTCCAGGCGCAAAGTTTCAAGAGCTGGCTCTGCAAGCTACGTGGGACCCACCTCTTCCAGGCAGCTGCTCTGGATTTAGCATTAAGTGTGGAATGGTCCCTTACACTCCCTATTAAATTCAGACCCTTGGCAAAGCTCTGAATGAAGTGTTTGGGAGAAGCTGTTGTCAAAGGCGGC